ATCGGGAAAATAAGGTGGATGAGGAATTTTCTCCCAACCAAGTTCTTCGATCTTTTGTGACGTGATTCTTGCTGTATGGGGTCGCGCATTGTCCTGATGAAACATCACCTCTTTTCGATTCACTAGAGCAGGTCTTTTTTCCCCAAAGCTTGGTTCAAACGCTCTAATTGCCGACAGTATATTTGAGTATTAATTGTTGCATTAGGTGGTAAGAATTCAAAGTGGATTATTCCTTGGCGATCCCACCAGATTGAAAGAACCGTTTGCCCATGAAGTTCCCTTCTCGGCTGTGGCTGGGGTCCTTCCCCTTTACCAAGCCACTGTCTACGACGCTTAACATTTCGATAAAAGATCCATTTTTCGTCGCCAGTCACAAGTCTATCCAAAAAAGGTGAAACAAGTTGGCGAGAATGGAGAGAAGAGCAGATGTCAACTCGGGATTTGAGGTTGTTTTCAGACAATTCAGGAGGCACCCATTTTCCAAGTTTAGGAACTTTTCCAAGTTGTTGAAGATGACGATGAACAGTTATATGGTTTGAACTGAGAACCACTACCAATTCCTCAACTGATAAAGCAGGATTTTCTTCAAGGGCTGCTTCAAGAAGCTTTTCATCTAACTCAACTGGACATCCGGTTCGATCTTCATCTTCAAGGGTGAAATCTCCACCTCTGAATTTTGCAAACCATCTTCTGCAAGTTCTTTCATTCACACATTCCTCTCCATAAACTGAGTGAATGTTTCTAGCCGCTTCGGCTGCTGAGTTTCCTTTCTTGAATTCATAAAGCATTATGTGCCTCAAATGATTCTTGGGTACTTCCAGGGATTTAATCAAACAAAATTTAATTTTATTGTTCTCTGAAATAAAGTTTGATCAGTTGAAATGCATCTAAACATAAAAATAATGTTCAGCACCATTAGACATTATAAAATACTCTTTAAATTTCGTTCATTTTAACAAAAAGTTAAAATTCGGACAGAACTTATGGGATGACCTATATATATATATATATATATATATATATATATATATATATATATATATATATTCCACCTGATCAGTAGATTGAGCTTGAGTAATAACGTTCCAAGCATGTAGCCCCGTTGAGAGTACACCACTTCTCCTGTCTGGAGAAAATTTGGAGTCTTCCCATTCAAATAGTCACATTTTTCACTACCCCTCATGGTCGGCTAAAGGTACAAATTTTATGTTCAGTTTAGATAAATTCTTTTCAATTGTAGTTGTGATAGAGTTGGTAGGTAGAATAATATATTTTGATATGTATGGGTGTGTGAAAATAAATGCTATATATATAATTTTCTTCGCAGACTGAAATTCAGGAGGTTGACCAACACTCGTTTTTTCTTTTTTTCAACGATCTTATTTCTAAACTTGCTGTGGATATGTGGATGGTATAATAGACAGTGTCGCAGAATGCAGAATCAGAGAGCCGAGTTTGAATTTTCATGAAGTTTCGTTACATTCATTTACGCGCAATTACTGTTGGAAAAAGTACAAATCCATCTGCTGTAGTAGGACTTGTATCTAGAAAAATTATTGTCATACTCAAAAAAAAAAAAAAAAAAAGAAAAAAGATCTTAATGCAATATTCACCCGCAAAAGGCATTTTAGTTACAATCCCAAACAATTTGATAAGCCGTAAAAAAGACAAACAATCAACATTGAACTTGATTCTTATTTGTACTATAAAAAATGACGCCATTAGGTGTTTTCTTTTAGTAAATTTCTTTCTTTATTTTTCTTGTTCTCCACACGAACTTTATTTAATTTATTTATTGGTTCGTCTGTTCTTTCTGGTAACTCGATCATTACATCATATACATTTTTAAGAAATAGGTTAAAAAAAGAAGCGTAAGTATTGATAAAAACACTCCCTAACATGTATCGACTTGTTGACTAGATTCAGCGCATACTGAGGGGGTAACACTGGCTTCAATGAATTCGAAAAGGCTGAAATCTAGACCTTTGTCGTTGTTTGTTTTGCTAATGGTCATAGTAATGGTAAATAACACAAGCAGTAAGACCCGTGTCAACATTACCATGAACGGGATTTCATTGAAGAAATTGTCCAGTTTTAAAAACATGGAAGCAATCTTGTCTAAAGCACCTGCAGCTCGGAAATCTGCACACGGACTGCCGCAGCTATGGCAGCGATGGCCAAATTGACAAGAATATGGAGGAGAAAAATCAGCTTTCAAATAAAGTACAGACTGTAAAAATCGCTGGTAGTTTCCGTTCTGTATGGATGTGAAACGTGTACACTGTTGGCAGAAACAGAAAAATCCAAGCGTTTGAGAACAAATACACGAGAAAAATCTTTTGCATCTTCTATTGGGAAACATACAATAAATGAGTTCATACGGAAAAGGGTTGAAAGATTTTTTTTGGAAACCAGGAACCTTTTCTCGCCACAGTCAAACGTAGAAAAATGACATGGTATGGACACGTTATACGGTACGACTGTCTGTGGAAGACCATCATGCAAAGCACCGTTGAAGGTGGACGTAGGAGAGGACGCCAACGCAAAAACTGGTTGGACAATGTCAAATAATGGACTTGTATGACTTTACAAGAATTACTGATGGCTGCCTTTGATAGACCGTTGTCGAAGAGATTCAATATGGCTTCTGTATTCGGATCCCCGCTTACGATTACAAAAGTCAAGAGGATGATGATTATAACATCTAACGTGATGTAATAGTCAGCAAGGCCGTTTCTCAAAAAGATTTCAATAGAATATATATATATATATATATATATATATATATATATATATAATATATATATATATAGTTATATATTCTTGAAGCTATATACATAAAACAGTTGAAAACTAACCTGAACAAAAACTATGAAATCTCCACAAATATTCTTAAATGTCTATAATTGGTAACAGAAGCCATTGTTTATACTAACGGCTTTCCATACTTAATACTTCTCGTTTTCACTCTCGCGTGGTCATGTGTAACGTCATGAGCTGCGGTGCGATTATCCATGTAAACAGAAACAGACTATTATCACATTCTTTTCTGTGTATTGCTTAATATATTGTACTGTAATTGTCATCTTTGATAATGGCTTATGTAAGCCGAAAGCTTAGATTGGATTAAAAAATATGTATCAATATTGTGATTTTCTTTCTTCATTTACTGATAATGTTATTAAGCTTATCAGACGTTATGAAAAGAATTTACATAAAATAAATAGACAACACTTGTCTATATTATTTAATGAAACATGTATGAATATATATATATATATATATATATATATATATATATATATATATATATATATATATATTTAAAAGATCTGTTTGGTGGTACAAAATTTTATCACTGGCAAAATATACAAAATTAGTTTTATTATTGCCACTCCATGATAATAAAAAGTAAACATTTAAAACGGGCTAGCTAACCGGTTTTGTACCTCGCTCAACAGAGCTAAATCGAGGTAAATAGAGTAAATTATATAATAAAAAAAAAAGAACAATAGACGAAGTTTATTGGTGGGAAATATATATATATATATATATATATATATATATATATATATATATATATATATAGAGAGAGAGAGAGAGAGAGACAGACAGACAGACAGACAGACAGACAGAGATAGATAGGTAGGGATAATGAGAGAGTGATAGAACCCCTGGACTAAATAGGTCTCGAGAAAGCCGAAGGTGATAACGGTTGAAACGTTGTGACTATAACAGACAAATTGGTCATACTGGTCCGAAGAGCAATGTAGATACCAATGATTAATTCTCATTTCCAAAATACAGAGATTCTGTTGTGGAGGAGTCCGCTTAGCCATTGAATCGCGTTGAAGTGCTCAGACTTGCCATGAAGATAAACATTTTCTGACCTTTCCTGGTTCAATATTGGGTGAGCGCAGATTTGGATTTCGGCCAAGCATGAATTGAATTTCCGGCGTGGGGGTTGCCAGCACCAATGAAAATGCAGGACGGCTGGCAAAACGAGCTGGCCCCCCGCCCGTCGTAGACGTATAAAAAAACACGCGTGCATATATCAAATGCATACACGCACAGTTGCATCTATGTATTTAGAGATTCTTGATAAAATGTAAAGAATCCGCAATGTTATTGGTCCTGACTTGGCATCTCAGCTTCAATTACTTTTCTACCGCTGTAACATAGCTTCCCTCTGCCTTTTATGTAAATTCTTTCATGGTAAATGTTCTGATGAACTTTGCCCTTTGTTACCTAGACTTTATAAATTTAAAATGGACCGAACATGTGGGCAACGACGAGGTTTTGGAGAAAATGGAAACAAAAAGGAAACTTATACTTAACATCAGGAAGAGGCAGTTGAAATTTCTGGTGAACTTAATGAGGAAGGAGGGCTTGGAAAATCTGATACTCACAGGACAGGTTAAGAGAAAGAAGGACAGAGGAAAATAGCGCGTAACATACTTGATGGGCTTGAGAAAATAGAAATGGTAGAACAGGGTTTGGGAGGAATAACAATCAGACAAAATGTATTAAGGACTACAAGGGACAGGAAGATGTGGAGGGCCATGATCATCTACGTTCTGAAGGGACACGGCACATAAACTGACTAGATTGACGGCAAGTTCTCATCATTTTACAGTTGAAATGGCTAGATGTAACTAAGTTCTATGGTCAAAGATTCTTCTGTTACACGTCACACTTGTGGAACTCTCTTCCAGCTTCTTGCTTACAAGTCAAATTTGAAATGTAAATGCAATCGTTATCTTCTGTTTTCTTAATTGCTGTTCTTTTATTCATTTCTCTCCTTAATAATGTTTTCTTCTTCTAATATTCCCTCACAATCAATAATGCCTTGCGTCTTAATGGCTTTATTGACTTGCCTAGTGTGAACTGATTTTAAAAAATATAGACAAATATACGAACGTGGTGGCCATCACTATCGATGTCCGCGGCCATCATGTACGTTTTCCAACACGATAGATACAAACTTATATAGTGTTAGAATGTCTTCTTCTTCTTCTTCTTCTTCTTCTTCTTCTTCTTCTTCTTCTTCTTCTATGTGCCATGTCCATCGAGAACGTTAGCGATCATGACTCTCCACAATGTCCTCTCCTTTGTAGCTCTTTTGTCTTTTGCTGTCTCTCTTAAACACCGTTTTACCAATCATTTACACAGTTTCATTCGGTAAGTTATACGCTGTTTTTTTCCCTGTCCGCCTTTAATATATCCTGTGAGTGTCACATTTTCTAAACCCACATTCCTCATTATGTAACCTAGAAATTTCAACTGCCTCTTTCTAATTTCTAATAAGCACACTTTTTGTTTCTATTCTCTCTAGAACTTCGACGTTGTTCTCATGTTCAGCCCATGGTATTCTCAACATCCTTCTGTTGAACCACGATTCTGTTGCTTCAAGTCTCTTCTTCATCTGTGAGGTGATTGTCCAGTACTCACTGCCATATTGGAGGACATATTACATAACAGTTCAGTACTCTTTTCTTTGTTTCTCTTGCTTCAAGTCTCTTCTTCATCTGTGAAGAGATTGTCCATCATTCACTGCCATATAGGAGGACCGATATTACATAACAGTTCAGTACTCTTTTCTTTGTTTCTCTTGCTTCAAGTCTCTTCTTCATCTGTGAGGTGATTGTCCAGTACTCACTGCCATATTGGAGGACTGATATTACATAACAGTTCAGTACTCTTTCCTTTGTTTCTCTTGCTTCAAGTCTCTTCTTCATCTGTGAAGAGATTGTCCATCATTCACTGCCATATAGGAGGACCGATATTACATAACAGTTCAGTACATTTTTCTTTGTTTTTCTTGCTTCAAGTCTCTTCTTCATCTGTGAAGAGATTGTCCAGCATTCACTGCCATATAGGAGGACTGATATTACATAACAGTTCAGTGCTCTTTTCTTTGTTTCTCTTGCTTCAAGTCTCTTCTTCATCTGTGAGGTGGTTGTCCAGTACTCACTGCCATATTGGAGGACTGATATTACATAACAGTTCAGTACATTTTTCTTTGTTTCACTTGCTTCAAGTCTCTTCTTCATCTGTGAGGAGATTGTCCATCATTCACTGCCATATTGGAGGACTGATATTACATAACAGTTCAGTGCTCTTCTTTTTGGTTCTAATGAAATTTCCTGTCTCTTCCGACTTTTTATTCGTCTTTAAAGATGAACGCATTTCATCAGCCATCAGCTCATATAAATCGATTTTTAATCTGATACGCTATCTATCTGAAAGGTCTCTCTCTTTCTCTCCTAATTCATCTGTTCTATATTATCTCTCTTTTTCTATGTGTTATGTCTCTAACTCTTCTCCTCTATATTCCATCTTCTTTTTATTCTTCTTTATGTGTCTCTCTCTCTCCTTCTAATTATGTCTCTCTTTTCTTCCCTATGTGTTATCTTTCTCCACTTCTTCTCCATGTGTTATGTCTTCTCTTCTTCCCTATTTGTTATGTCTCTCACTTTTTTCCCTATTTGTTATGTCTCTCACTTTTTTCTCTATGTGGTCTCTCTCTTCTTCTCATGTGTTATGTCTCTCTCTTCTTCTCTCTCTCTCTCTTCTTCTCCATGTGTCTCTCTCTCTTCTTTATTTGTCTCTACTTTTCTTCTCTCTCTCTCATGTCTCTTTCCCTATTTGTTATGTCTCTCTTCTTCCCTATTTGTTATGTCTCTCACTTTTCTTCCCTATTTGTTATGTCTCTCTGTTATGTCTCTCTCTTCTTTCCTATTGTCTCTTCTTCTATTTTCTCTCTCTTTTCTTCCCTATTTGTTATGTCTCTCACTTTTTCTTCTCTATGTGTTATGTCTCTCTCTTCCCCATTTGTTATGTCTCTCTCTTCTTCCTTTATTTATGTCTCTTTTCTTCTTCCCTATTTGTTATCTCTCTCCTTTTCTTCTTTATGTCTCTCTCCATGTGTTATGTATTTTATGTCTCTCTCTCTTCTCCATTTGTTATGTCTTCTTCCCTATTTGTTATGTCTCACTTTTCTTCTCTATGTATTATGTCTCTTTCTCTCTTCTTATTTGTTCACTCTTCTTCTCCATGTGTTATGTCTCTCTCTTCCCTATTTGTTATGTCTTCTTTTCTTCCCATTTGTTATGTCTCTCTCTCTTCTTCCCTATTTGTTATGTCTCTCTTTTCTTCTCTATTTGTTATGTCTCTTTTCTTCTATTTGTTATGTCTCTCTCTTCTTCTCCTATGTGTTATGTCTCTCTCTCTTCTTCCCTATTTGTTATGTGTTATGTCTCTCACTTTTCTTCCCTATGTTATGTCTCTCTCTCTTTCCTTCTCTCTCTCTTTATTTGTTATGTCTCTCTCTCTTCTTCCCCTTTGTTTGTTCTCTTTCTTCCCTCACTTTTTCTTCTTATGTCTCTCTCTCTTCTTCCCTATTTGTTATGTCTCTCTCTTCTTCTTCCCTATTTGTTATGTCTCTCTTTTCTTCTCTATTTGTTTTCTCTCCTCTTCTTGTATGTGTTATGTCTCTCTCTCTTCTTCCTTCTCTCTTCCCTATGTGTTATTTTTGTCTCTCTTCTTCCCTATTTGTTATGTCTCTTTTCTTCTCTATTTGTTATGTCTTCTTCTTCTTCCATGTGTTATGTCTCTCACTCTTCTTCTCTATGTGTTATGTCTCTCTCTTCTTCTCCATGTGTTATGTCTCTCTCACTTTTCTTCCCTATTTGTTGTCTCTATTTCTTGTCTTTTATGTCTCTCACTTTTCTTCTCTCTCACTCTTCTTCTCATTTATGTTATGTCTCTCTTTTCTTCCCCTTATTTGTTATGTCTTCTTTTTCTTCCTATGTTTCTCACTTGTTCACCATGTGTTATGTCTCTCTCTTCTTTATTTGTTATGTCTCTCTCTCTTTTCTCTCACTTTTTTTCTTTGTTATGTCTCTCCTCTTTTCTCTATTTGTTATGTCTCTCTCTTCTTCCCTATTGTTATGTCTCTCTCTCTTCTTCCCTATTTGTTATGTCTCTCTTTCTCTTCTTCCCTATCTTCTTCTCCATGTCTCTCTCTCTTCTTCCCTATTTGTTATGTCTCTCACTTTTCTTCCCTATTTGTTGTGTTATGTCTCTCTCTCTCTTCTTCCCTATTTGTCTCTCTCTTTCTTCTCTCTTCTTTTCTTCCCTATTTGTTATGTGTCTCTCACTTTTCTTCTCCATGTGTTTGTCTATCCTCTTCTTCTCCATGTGTTATGTCTCTCTATTTGTTATTTCTTCTCTATTTGTTATGTCTCTCTCTTCTTCTTCTCCATGTGTTATGTCTCTCTCTCTTCTTTCCTATTTGTTATTTGTTATGTCTCTCTTCTTCTTTCTCCCTATTTGTTATGTCTCTCTCTTTTCTTCCTATTTGTTATGTCTCTCTCTCTTCTTCCCTATTTGTTATGTTCTTCTTTTCTATGTGTTATGTCTCTATTTGTTATGTCTCTCTCTCTTCTTCTCTTCTTCTCCATGTGTTCTTCCCTATTTGTTATGTCTCTCACTTTTCTTCTCTATGTGTTATGTCTCTCACTCTTCTTCTCCATGTGTTATGTCTCTCTCTCTTCTTCCCTATTTGTTATGTCTCTCTCTCTTCTTCCCTATTTGTTATGTCTCTCTCTCTTCTTCCCTATTTGTTATGTCTCTCTTTTCTTCCCTATTTGTTATGTCTCTCACTTTTCTTCTCTATGTGTTATGTCTCTCACTCTTCTTCTCCATGTGTTATGTCTCTCTTCTTCCCTATTTGTTATGTCTTCTTCCCTATTTGTTATGTCTCTCTCTCTTCTTCCCCACTTTTTCTTCTTATGTGTTATGTCTCTCTCTTCTTCTCCCTATGTGTTATGTCTCTCTCTCTTCTTCCATTTGTTATATGTCTCTCTCTTCTTCTCTTCTTCCCTATTTTTTGTTATGTCTCTCTCTTTTCTTCCTATTTGTTATGTCTCTCTCTTCTTCTTCCCTACTTTTCTTTACTATGTGTCTCTCTCTCTTCTTCTATTTGTTTTGTCTTCTCTTGTTATGTCTCTCTCTCTTCTTCTCTACGTGTTATGTCTCTCCCTCTTTATGTGTTATGTATTTCTCTTTTCTATATGTTATACTTTTTCTCTATGTGTTATGTCCTCTTCTTCTCCATGTGTTATGTCTCTCTCTCTTCTTCCATTTTTGTTATGTGTCTCTTTTCTTCCCTATTTGTTATGTCTCTCTCTCTTCTTCCCTCTCTCTTCTCTGTGTTATGCCTCTCTTTTCTTCTCTATGTTTTATGTCTCTCTCTTATTAGTATTTAAACAAGAAATTTAAGAAAAAACTGAATACACTTATATATTGAAAACTTTAGAAATCCCCTGAAGTTTCTGGCATACTGGAGTAATTTTAAGTCGTCCCTGGTCCTCTTCTTCCCCATTTGTTATGTCTCTCACTTTTCTTCCCTATTGTTAAAATCGTTACATTATCTTTTGACACTCAGAGCTGAAAGTTAAAAAAAAAAAAAGGTCTCTCACTTTTCTTCTCTGTGTTAAAGTTAAATGTCTCTCTCTCTTCTTCCCTATATAAGAGAGTAGAAAGAGGCTTCCCTATTTGTTAAAAAATTATGAAAAGAAAATGTCTCTCTCTTCTTCCCTATTTAAGACATCTACATGTGTTATCTCTCTCTCTCTTCTTCCATAAGCAGACGTACAAGGGTATACACATATAAACACATATAGGCGCGTGCATGCAGACATACACATATAAAAATAAGAAAAAACAAACATCCCAACACCAATAAAAAAACGATTAAATTACTTTTAACTTAATATAAAAATAACGAAGACGATAAAATTGACAATTTGCTGATATCTCCTGACGAGTGGACCAAACAATTACACAAAGATTCATCCACGAATCTCCGGTACTTAATATAGTATCTAATGACAAATTTACTTAATATAGTACCTAATGACAAATTTAGCATTTTTATTAATCCTATATCTATCTATCTATCTATCTATCTATCTATGTAAGTGAGCGCTGAAAAGTTTTATTGACCCAATCTGCCAACAGATTTTAAATACCAATGGGAGTATTTCCTAAACCAAAATACCATTGGGAAATCGCTGTTAACTTAAAAGATGTTTCTCTGATTCAAAAAGGGGATACATATTCAGTTTCTGTCAGAGGGGCACATTTTCTTCACTCGATCTCAAGGCCAGTAGACATTAATTTCTCTGTTGATAAACAAGAATTTTCAATTAAACACGTGTACGCACTAAATATAACGTTTTGTATCAGGGGTTCCCAACCTATTTTGTGTCATCGCACACTTTCACAAAAGAAATATTTTCCACTGCCCACTTGTATAGTAAATATTCAAAAACAGATAGAAATTGTTTGGTAAATGTTTGTTACTATTTTATAAACTGAATTTATGCTTTTGTAAAAATACCAAAGGGAGGTAAGAAATAAGACCGACTTATGCATCGGCTGCTGTTGTTACTACTGCATTAAAGAACAAACGAAACCATCGCTATATATAATTGAGTTTTATGATCAAGGTTAGTATTATGGTAAGGCTTAGCGTTGCAAGTGTTGACATAAAAATTAAACGAGTTTAAGATAGATAGATAGATAGATAGATAGATAGATAGTTATAAACAAACTGAGATAGATTCAAACAAACTGAGATAGATATGAAGAGATTGAGATAGATAGAAAAAATTACAAGGATTGCTCACCTTAAAAGTATTTTCTTTTCTTTCGCTAAACACAATCTTTCTATATATATATATATATATATATATATATATATATAAATATATGAGAAAAAATATATGGAAAAACAAAAATTGAATATGCTAGTATGCTGTTTTTAATGTTGTATTTTGTTTTCCATATATTTTTCTTCATACTATCGGATCTATATCCACATATTTGCTTACACACACACACACACACACACACACACACATATATATATATATATATATATATATATATATATATATATATATACATACAGTAGCGTCCAAAACTAAGGGACAAAATTTAAAACATAATATTTGTTAGAAATAACAACTGTGAAAAGCTGAAATTTTGACAACTGGTAGTCGTTATCATCCATAATAACATACTAAAATTTGAATCATTTGCAAAGGATAGAAAAGAATTATAACAATTATTTATTTATTTTCAAAATAGGATCGTCCAAAAGTAAGGGACAAAATTGAGAAAACAATGTAAACATTATGCTATATTCAAATTTTTTTGATTTTCTCTAAAGAATAAGTCTTACTTAGTCATTCGTAAACGTTGCATCAGCCGGCACCATGGCGAAACGCCAAAAAACTTGATTACTCTGTGAGACAAGCTATTGTGAAGCTACACAAGGAAAAGCACACCATTAGAGGGAGATTTCAGAGAAAGTGAAACGTTCCAAGAGTGTTGTAGGCAGGGTTGTTAAATCCTACAATGATACTGGCAAAATAGTTAGTGCTTTTAAAACCGGTAGACCCCGCAAAACTTCGGCAAGAGAAGATCGAATAATACAGCGTATGTCATTAAAGGACCGTTTTATGTCTTGCACAGAAATTAAAAGGGTTATGAATAGTACCTCATGTGTTAATGTGTCAAGACAGACTGTTTGTAGACGACTGCAAGAAATAGGGCTGTTTAATCGAACCCCAGGGAAGAAACCACTTGTTAGTTAGAAGAATAAGAAGAAGAGATTAGAGTTTGCAAACAGGTATGTAATTTGGACATATGAAAATTGGGCAAAAGTATTTTTCAGTGATGAAAGCAAATTTAATTTATTTGGAAATGATGGAAAAAACAATGTAAAAGAGACGTATTGGTGAAAGATTAAAGTGCAAAAGTGTACTGAAAACTGAAAACTTCAAGTTTGGGGCGGAAGCGTCATGGTATTTGGAATGTTTTTCTAGCCAAGGGTACAACGCCTCTTGTCCGGTTACAAACTCGTGTAAACGCGCAGATCTATAAAAACATTGTTCAAGATCATGTTGTGCCAATCATACAGAATTCAGGTTTCGATAGGGCTACCTTTATGCAAGATAATGCCCCATGTCACAAGGCAAAGGTTACCTTAGCGAGCAAGATTTGGAAATTATGGATTGGCCACCGCAAAGTCCTGACTTAAATCAATAGAAAATATTTGGAAGACCTTAGGAGTGAAAGTTATGGAAAGAAATCCCACTAACACGGAGGATTTGTGGGTGAAGCTTCAAGAAGAATGGTCTAAAATTAGTATCGAGGATTGTCAAGAACTGATTCGTTCTTGTAGTCGAAGATGTGCAGCTGTCATTGAGAGCAAGGGCTCATTTACTAAATATTGATTGTACATGTATTTTTATTGTTTTTTTTTGCCGTTTACATTGTTTTTCTCAATTTTGTCCCTTACTTTTGGACGTTCCAAATTTGAAAATAAATAAATAATTGTTATAATTCTTTTTCTATCCTTTGCAAATGATGCAAATTTTAGTATGTTATTATGGATGATAACGACTACCAGTTGTCAAAATTTCAGCTTTTCACAGTTGTTATTTCTAACAAATATTAGGTTTTAAAATTTTGACCCTTAGTTTTGGACGCTACTATATATATATATATATATATATATATATATATATATATATATATATATATTTTAGCCATTAGCAAGGATGATTTTTATTTTTAACTGAATGTATAGATTTTGTATAGAGTTATAGGAATATTTTATTTTCCAAACATAGTCAGCACATTGTGGCCGTGTTTATATTTGATGTTATTGAGTGTTGGCCTTTTCTTTTCTTTTTTTTTTTATTATTAATACTTCCGTTATTTTAACTCTTTTTTATATGTAGATGAAGCTATTGTACTTGTATTTTCAACTAGTATATTTCAGGTGGGGTTTGGTAGTTTTCCGTGTGTGTTCAATGAATCTTAATTGAACGAGGTGCAGAAAGGTTTAACGTGAGTTTTCTTGATAGGCATGTAGTGATATAACCAGTATAATTATTCATAAATTTGGTCCCTTAAGGGGGAATGTGAATTCATTAATAATACAAGGACCGTATTTTGTCAGTGATCTTTAATGAAACATAAAGAATACTGCACAGTTACGTGACATCTATCCTTTACGGCAGCGAATGTTGGACGATTTCCTCAAAGATGAACCGGGTATTGAACTCACACTCTTTGGGTCCTGTCACTGGATCTAACCAACGCACAGTGGATAAAGGGGGAAGTTAGATCCAGTGACGGGACCCAAAGAGTGTGAGTTCAATACCTAAAAAGGCTGATGGAGAACTTTCAGAGGGAAATTAACAGGAGATAACTGATAACTGACATCCATTAAACATGGCACGTGGAACTAGAATAGTCTACCCCAGTGAGCGAAATAAAGGGTTAAGTTCGACATCCCAACCACCTGAAGAAGGCCGGAGCGTACAACGGCCGAAACGTTGTAATAAATATGGCGACAAAGATGAGGACAATAGTCCAAATAAGGTAAATAATGTACGGAGCTGCCAGTAGCGGAACCGGACGAGATTATGTACGAGTTGCCCCCCCCCCGTGTCTACGGCTTCAAGAAACAAGTTTTGGGTATCAGAAGATGCAAACTGACGATCTGTCATCCTGCGATCTGCCAGACATCTGCGTGCATATTCCAGATGCAGCTGGGTCGATTATGTGTTAATATATTGAGGCCCCTAGAAAGCCCCTCCCAAGTAAAGCAAGCAGCTGGTTCCTTTTATGGCCTAGTGTGACATTGAGTTCAAAGTCTATTCTGACATAATCTGGTACGAGTCGCATACGGCACAGGGTACAAAGCGAAAACCCGGCTCTTTTACTTCTGAATGTTGCTGCTACTGTTTATGGGAAGTCAATAGAAACTTGTTATTAATATAGAAATACGTTCTAAGAATTTTAACATATCTTCCGCATGCAGGTGTTACAAACATTACAGTTATTGGAGCGAAAACTGGAATTGAATAAATGAGATCAAATTTGTACGTAATCCGTTGTGTTCACTTTCCGCACAAATGCCTAGAGGAAGGGCCTGAATTCATCTCTTCTGCCAGCTGTGGGCGAAATAGCAGACTGAACTCACTAGTTTGATTAGTAGCCCGTTTTGGACTCTTGAATTCAAAATGTCATGGCAATACACGTTTAATAAAGACACGGGATCTGTGGATAGCCATGTTCGTTTACGTTTCGAAGGTACAAGGCATTAAAAACATACATTCCGTAACGTTTGACCTGAGCAAAAGGGTAATGGCTGACGTCATCAAAATGTGTGTGTCTCATAATCATGACGTGATCAAGAGAAGATACGAAACATAACTAAGTAAACAGCATCGAAACACGTGATCGACTATGTTCGCGTTATGCTGATCTGGATTTGAGTAACACGAGTTAACATTTCAAATTTGATTTATTTATTATGCGTCACTTCCTTTTATAATCTTTTTTCTCAGTCTTTTTGTTTAATGACTTCCTCTCTCTATCTCTCACTCTCGTTTTATCTCTCGCTTTTTATTCATCTCTCTCTCTCACACTTTCTCTTAGTCTCTTTCTTTATCTTCCTCTCTTCCTTTTCTATGGCCTTTTTTTCTTCTGTCTGCATTTTTCGATCTCGCTTTTATTCTTAGTCTTTTTCTTTATCTTTTTCTTTTCTGTGTTTTGTTCTTTTCCGTTTGTTTCCTTCTCTGTCTGCCTCTCTTTCTATCACTCTTTTTTTCTCTCTCTCAAGCTTTCTCTTTCTCTTTCCTCTGTCTTTTTTTTTTGCTTTTTTTTTTTCATTTTGTTTTGCTCTCTTTTTTTTGTCTGCATTTTGCCTTTTTCTTTCCTCTCTCTTTGCTCCTCTTTCTTTCTTTCTTTCTTTCTTTCTTTCTTTCTTTCTTTCTTTCTCTATTACATTCTTTCTTTTTCTTCCGCTTTCTTTTTCTTCCGCTTTCTCTTTCTTTCTTTCTTTCTTTCTTTCTTTCTTTCTTTCTTTCTTTCTTTCTTTCTTTCTTTCTTTCTTCTTTCTTTCTTTCTTTCTTTCTTTCTTTCTTTCTTTCTTTTTTCTTTCCATTTATTTCTCTTCCCTTTCTTTCTTTTCTCTTTCTTTCTTTCTTTTTTCTTTCTTTCTTTCTTTCTTTCTTTTCTTTCTTTCTTTCTTTTTTCTTTCTTTCTTTCTTTCCATTTATTTCTCTATCCCTTTCTTTCTTTCTTTCTTTCTTTCTTTCTTTCTTTCTTTCTTTCTTTCTTTCTTTCTTTCCATTTATTTCTCTATCCCTTTCTTTTTCTTTCTTTCTTTCTTTCTTTCTTTCTTTCTTTCTTTCTTTCCATTTATTTCTCTATCCCTTTCTTTCTTTTTCTTCCGCTTTCTCTTTCTTTCTTTCTTTCTTTCTTTCTTTCTTTCTTTCTTTCTTTCTTTCTTTCCATTTATTTCTCTATCCCTTTCTTTCTTTCTTTCTTTCTTTCTTTCTTTTTTCTTTCTTTCTTTCTTTCCATTTATTTCTGTATCCCTTTCTTTCTTTCATTTCTTTTCTTTCTTTCTTTCTTTCCCTTTCTTTCCATTTTTTCTCTATCCTTTTTTTTCTTTCTTTCTTTCTTTCATTTATTTTCTTTCTTTCTTTCTTTTCTTTTCTTTTCTTTCTTTCTTTTTAACAGATTTTCTTTCTTTCTTTTCATTTCTCTTTCTTTCTTTCTTTCTTTTTTCTTTCTTTCTTTCTTTTTCATTTATTTCTCTCCTTTCTTTCTTTTCTTCCTTTTTATTTCTTTCTTTTTTATTTCCTTTCCTTTCTTTTCTTTCTTTCTTTTTCCATTTATTTTCTTTTTTTTTTTCTTTCTTTTTTTCTTTCTTTCTTTCCATTTTTTTCTATCCTTTTTCTTTTTCTTCTTTTTCTTTCTTTCTTTCTTTCCATTTATTTCTCTATCCCTTTCATTTATTTTTCTTCTTTCTCTTTCTTTCTTTTTTCTTTCTTTCTTTTTTCTTTCTTTCTTTTCTTTCCATTTATTTCTCTATTTTCTCTTTTTCGAGTCTTTCTTTCTTTCTTTCTTTCTTTCTTTATTTCTTCATTTCTTCCTTTCTTTCATTTATTTCCTTCTATCCCTTTCTTTAGTTTCTTTCTTTTTACTTTTTTCCATTTATTTCTCCTATTCCTTTCTTTCTTTCCCTTTCTTTCCATTTATTTCTCTATCCCTTTCTTTCTTTCTTTCTTTCTGTTTTCTTTCTTTCTTTCTTTCTTTTCTTTCTTTCATTTTATCTATCCCTTTCTTTTTTTTTCTTTTTTTCTCTTTCTTTCTTTCTTTTCTTTCTTTTCTTTCTTTCTTTCTTTCTTTCTTTCTTTCCATTTATTTCTCTATCCCTTTCTTTATTTTTCTGCCGCTTTCTCTTTCTTTCTTTCTTTTCTTTCTTTTCATGGGATTTTTCTTTTCTTTTCATTTACTTTCTTCTTTGTCTGCTCCCTTTCTCTCTCTCTCAATCTCTCTCTATAAAATTTTCCTTGTTTACCGTTTTTTATTTCCTTTTCCCTACTACCTATTTGCTGCTATTTCTTTCTTTCTTTCTCTCTTTTTATATTTCCCTTTTTTTATGAGTTTTTCTTTTTCTTTCCGTTTGCTTGCATTTCATTCTTATCATCTGTTTACTCCTCTCTATTTCTTTCTTTATGAGTCTCTCTTTTTGTACATCTATCTTTTGTCTTTCCGCTTCTTTGTTTCCCTATTTTCTCTCGAGTAATCTCCCTATCCGTCTCCCCCCCCCAGAGTCTCATTTCTTCCTTTCTCTCTGTTCGCTTCTCTCTTTCAGTTTCGATCTTTACGTTTGTCTGTTTTATTCCTTTTCTCCCCTCTTTTTTTCCCCCTCTCGCCCTTCTGTTTTCCTTCTCATTGTTGACTGCATTTCATCGACACCAACATTTCTTCGGGAATAATTCTCGGTCTTATTGCTTAATCATAAATCTGGTAAAAAACGTATAAAATGTTTATAAGATTCAGATTGGGGTGTGAAAAAAAAGTTAGATCGATCTGCTCATAGGGAAAAAGATAGAAATAGATAGATTCACTGGATAGATGCAATCTGTCTCGGAAAAAGCGAGTAATTCAGACTAAGCTACAATTAAACTGATAGATAAAAATCGATACTTTAGATAGCCGAGAGTTGAACAGATTGATATCAAAGATATAAAAACTGACTGAGATAAATAGATAAAAACGACCGAGATAGATAGATAGATAGATAAACAAAGACATGAATAGATAGATAGATAGATAGATAGATAGATAGATTAATAAATAAACAAATAAGAGATCAGATACAAACAAACTGAGATGCATAGAAGATAGATAGATAATATGAACAAATAGATAGATAGATAAACAAATAGATAGATAGATAGATAGATAGATAGATAGATAGATAGATAGATAGATATGAACAAATTAAGAGATAGATACAAGCAAACTGAGATAGATAGATAGATAGATAGATAGATGAATATGAACAGATTAAGAGATAGATACAAGCAAACTAGGATAGATAGATGATAATGAATGATAGATAGATAGATAGACAGATTAAGAGATAGATACAATCATACTGAGATAGATAGATAGATAGATAGATAGATAGATAGATAGATAGATAGATAGATAGATAGATAGATATGAGATATGAACAGATTGAAATAGATAGACAGAGACATGAACAGAGATAGATTGAATATATTGAGACAGATTAATAAATGAATAGGTAGATACAAAGAGAGACATAAGCAAACTCAGATAGGTATGGACATATTGAGATAGATAGATAGATAGGAATATATATATATATATATATATATATATATATATATATATATATATATATATATATATATGTATATGTTTATATGTATAGAAAGAGAGAACAAACTGAGATTTGGAGATATCAATAATGATAGAAAGATAGAAAATATTACACTTTAGTGATATATGAAGATATATAATTACAGAATAATATAAACAGTTCTGAGCAAATCTATATAGATTTCGAAAGTTATATGCATTACTAGCTCGCAAGGTATTCAAATATGCACGAACACAGAGAGTCTACAATTGAGAAATTCTCGTCTAAATTAAGCAAAAATTAAAATAACACTGACATCTCATTTTAGCAGATGTATTTACTAAAATTACACAAAAAATATCTGGAAATACTAAAGATATTATAAATTTATTCAATAAAATCGCCATTGACTTCAACCACGGCCGCCAAACGACTTCGGAATCTCCTGCAAATCTTCTGGACGGTCTCCTTGGTGAATGCTGCCATAGTCCTTTCCTTCTGTTAATCGTTGGTGTTTTGTTGGTCTTTCCTTCAGTTCACCTTTGGTGTTTGGTTGGTTTCTCCATCAGTTCACCTTTGGTGTTTGGTTGGTCTCTCCATCTGTTCATCTTTGGTGTTTTGTTGGTCTCTTCTTCAGTTCATCTTTGGTGTTTGTTGGTCTCTCAATCAGTTCATGTTTGATGATTTGTTGGTCTCTCCTTCAGTTCATCTTTGGTGTTTTGTTGGTCTCTCCATCAGTTCATCTTTGGTGTTTTGTTGGCCTCTCCTTCAGTTCATGTTTGGTGTTTTGTTGGTCTCTCCATCAGTTCATGTTTGGTGTTTTGTTGGTCTCTCCTTCAGTTCATCTTTGGTGTTTTGTTGGTCTCTCCATCAGTTCATCTTTGGTGTTTTGTTGGTCTCTCCATCAGTTCATGTTTGGTGTTTTGTTGGTCTCTCCTTCAGTTTATTTTTGGTGTTTTGTTGATTTCACCTTCACTTCATCTTTGGTGTTTTGTTGGTCTCTCCATCTGTTCATCTTTGGTGTTTTGTTCGTTTCTTTTTCAGTTCACTTCGGTGTTTTGTTGGTCTCTCCTTCAGTTCATCTTTGGTGTTTTGTTGGTCTCGCCTTCAGTTCATCTTTGGCGTTTTGTTGGTCTCTCCACCGGTTCATCTTTGGTGTTTTGTTGGTCTCTCCTTCAGTTCATCTTTGGTGTTTTCTTTGTCTCTCCTTCAGTTCATCTTTGGTGTTTTGTTGGTCTTTCCTTCAGTTCCTCTCTGGTGTTTTTTTTTTGCTTTCTCCTTCAGTTCATCTTTGGTGTTTTGTTGGTCTCTCCTTCAGTGTATCTTGGGTGTTTTGTTGGTCTCTCCATCAGTTCATCTTTGGTGTTTTGTTTGTCTCTGCATCTGTTCATCTTTGGTGTTTTGTTGGTCTCTCCTTCAGTTCATCTTTGGTCTTTAGTTGGTGTTTCTATCAGTTCATCTTCGGTTTTGTTTCATTTAGTTAACCGTCGGTTTTCTCCTTCAGTTCATCTTTGGTGTTTTGTTGGTCTCTCCTTCAGTTCATCTTTGGTGTTTAGTTGGTGTTTCCATCAGTTCATCTTTGGTGTTTTGTTGGTCTCTCATTTAGTTAACCATCGGTTTTTGGGTGTTTCTATCAGTTCATCTTTGGTGTTTTGTTGGTCTCTCCTTCAGTTCATCTTTGGTGTTTTCTTTGTCTCTCCTTCAGTTCATCTTTGGTGTTTAGTTGGTGTTTCCATCAGTTCATCTTTGGTGTTTTGTTGGTCTCTCCTTCAGTTCATCTTTGGTGTTTAGTTGGTGTTTCTATCAGTTCATCTTTAGTGTTTAGTTGATCTCTCCTTCAGTTCATCTTTGGTGTTTTGTTGGTGTTCTCCTTCAGTTCATCTTTGGTGATTTGTTGGTCTCTCCATCGGTTTATTTTTGGTGTTTTGTTGGTCTCTCCACCAGTTCATCTTTGGTGTTTTGTTGGTCTCTCCTTCAGTTCATCTTTGGTCTTTTGTTGGTGTTTCCATCAGTTCATCTTTGGTGTTTTTTTTCTCTCCTTCAGTTCATCTTTGGTGTTTTCTTTGTCTCTCCTTCAGTTCATCTTTGGTGTTTAGTTGGTGTTTCCATCAGTTCATCTTTGGTGTTTAGTTGATCTCTCCTTCAGTTCATCTTTGGTGTTTTGTTGGTCTCTCCTTCAGTTCATCTTTGGTGTTTAGTTGGTGTTTCCATCAGTTCATCTTTGGTGTTTAGTTGATCTCTCCTTCAGTTCATCTTTGGTGTTTTGTTGGTCTCTCCTTCAGTTCATCTTTGGTGATTTGTTGGTCTCTCCATCGGTTTATTTTTGGTGTTTTGTTGGTCTCTCCACCAGTTCATCTTTGGTGTTTTCTTGGTCTCTCCATCAGTTCATCTTTGGTGTTTTCATGGTCTCTCCTTCAGTTTATCTTTAGTGTTTTATTGGCTTCTCCATCAGTTCATCTTTGGTATTTTGTTGGTCTCTCCTTCAGTTCATCTTTGGTGTTTTGTTGGTCTCTCCATCAGTTCATATTTGGTGCTTGTTGCACTCTCCTTCAGTTCATCTTTGCTGTTTTGTTGGTCTCTCCTTCATTTCCTCTTTGGTGTTTTGTGTGTCTCTCCATCAGTTCATGTTTGGTGTTTTGTTGGTCTCTCCATCAGTTCATCTTTGGTGTTTTGTTGGTCTCAACTTCAGTTCATGTTTGGTGTTTTGTTGGTCTCTCCATCAGTTCATCTTTTGTGTTTGTTGGTCTCTCCATCAGTTCATGTTTGGTGTTTTGTTGGTCTCTCCAGCATTTAATCTTTGTGTTTTGTTGGTCTCTCGCTCAACTACTCCCTACACATAATAATCAAGTGGGTTGCAGTCTGGGGAGTTAGTTCTTCTGACGTATGGGGTGATGCGGCCACAGAACTTTTCCGACAGCCATGACTTGGTTCCCCTGCTTCGGTGGCATGATTCGGAGTCATGTTGCCAGACATAGGGTCTTCCAGTAGCCACCCTTTTGACCCAGATCAGCACTACCTCCTTAAAACACCTGATGTAGGCTTCCCTGTTGAATCTGGGACCCTCAGCACCAAATTTGAGAATGTGTTCAGAGTGATCTCTCCGAGATGTCTTACCTTGATAATCACCAGTAGACTCATTCAACTCTTTCTGAATCTTCTGCATTAAGCTCAGATACCCAAACACTCTGAAATTTTCGTATTGGATCTTCCGGTGCGAATGCCAAGTAGAACAGCCTGTTTTCTCGAAATTTCTGGTGGAGCGAATTGTGTCACGGTGCTCTTTTTCTCACAGACGGTTCCCAATTGACCCAAACACTACTGCGCAGTCGACAAAATCAAAAAGCGCATGCTCGAAATTAAAAATATAAAATGGCGTCAATTCTTCCATCGGACTCTGTACCTATATATATATATATATATATATATATATATATATATATATATATATATATATATATATATATATATATATATATATATATAGGAATACATTGATTGATATCCAGATTGATATGTGCGCTATGACCACAGGCCACACCTGCAGCTTGACAGCATCTGACGAAGTTCTATTTTATTATCATTAAGTTACATGCGATTGTTCAGCGAATGGAATTGCCTCAGTAAAACGACCTTTCTTCACTTGTTCTCTCAGCATTGCTTTGTGACCCTCACCATCTTATTAACATTTGCCTTTTTTCTAACTACATTTACAAATTACAAATTAAACATAACTATTAAAAGATAAATGGTTTTCGTGGATTTTGATGTCATACTGTGTCCTTTTATTCCCCAAATCCGTGAATTTAGTTTACTCATGTTAAAAAACACGCAAAAAACACTATATAAGATTCACTATTTTTTTATCCATGATGTTGAATGAGTTTAAATCAACATTTTAACATGAAAAATATCAACCTGGTGTTAAAATTACTGCAAAACATTGTTGATTTATTTAAGATGGAATGATCTATTCTGACATGTCTCTATTTAGATACATTGTATTTATTTTGAATTTTTCTATTTAAATTGTTCGTTTATAGTGAATATGATCCATTATTGTGCACAATTAGGTTACAATAAAATTGAATACTAACTTATGATAATTGAAATGTGCTAAAGTGTCAGGCCACAAATCCTACCCTTCCTGTAAAGTATATTTAGGCAGCAAATATTCATCCAAACAAGTTTGAGTAAAAAGCACCAACAAAATCTGTCTACCTAATTTTTGATTGTATTTTTCTAATTTTCAGATAAGGTGTTGAGTACTCTGCTTGAAGTTGTGGCTAAACTGTCCAAAGTTCATATTTTGTTATTTTTGTTCAAGTACTTTTGACTTTTGAAGTCATTATCTAGAACCGATGTGATATCTGTGTGCTAGTTAGAATTTCTTTGTCTATATCATTGTATCCTTGGGCACCTCGTGGTGGTGTAATGGTTAGAACGCTTGTCTTGCTAGATCAATTATGACTGAGTAGTGAGTTCGATCATTCCTGGATGCCTCATAATTTCGACCTTGTGCCACATCTAAGCTCTGTTTAGAAAGTCACTATCATAGTATTCTTTGGGAATCTGGAAGTTTGAAATGCTCTAACGTGACGTCATATGGAACGTCTATTAGAAACGAGACAGCACAAAACAAATGCAACTTATTTTATTTGTATTTTTTTAGAATAATATTATATATGCGCACATTACTTATATGCACTTCAAGATAACGTCTCCTGTAATCAATGATATTTTATTTATTGTGTGCTGTTTATTTTGCATAATAATAGCTTCTCTGGCAAAGTCCTCACTTAAATACGTACTTAAATAAGTACTTAAATATCTCACTTTGCACAGCCTTCTTTTTGATAAACAATATGGCTGTTGCTTCTTTTGTTCAAGTGCCGATGCATTAACAGATATTATCGAAAGTTTGGATACAAACGGCAGTGCTTCAGATGTGGTTTTAGATATCCCGAAGGCGTTTGACAGTGTTCGGTATGTTGGCCTTCTTCACAAGCTGAAGGGTTATTGCACCAATGCATCGTGCCAGATAATTTTTCTCATTAGAATCCACCTTGCACATATATAAATCTACCAATCGTCCTTGCATTGAATATTGCTGCCATTTTTGGTCTGGTGCTACGGGTACATATCTCGAGTTTTTCGACAAAATTAAAAGAAGGATCTGTAATATTATCGATCCTGACCTGGCATCTCGGCTTCAATCACTTTCTAAGCGCCGTGAGTTAACTTCCTTGCCCCTTTTTCGATAAAGATTCTCATGACAATTTCTTTAATCAGCTTTCCTCCTTGGTACATCGATTGGTAGTAAGATCTCATCTTTTTACTGCTGAAAGAGCCAGATATAGCCGTAAGTTTTATGTAAATAGTTTTTTTTTTCTCGAACTTCTCGTCTGTGGAACTCTCTTTTAATTTCTTGCTTTCCTGCGACCCAAGATCTTCAAAAACTTGAATGCAAGGTCAATCATCAGCTTCCGTCTTCCTGAAACCTAGTTCTTTTATTGTCCTTTCTCCTCACTAAAGTCTTCTCATTCAATTTCACTCTCATTAACCACTTGCGTCTTAGTGGCATTGTCGTCTATCTTGGGCGAAATGATTAAAATAAAAATTATTGAGCTTAGTAAACCGCCATGATGGCTGTATTGTGATTGAAGGACTTGTGATTACCAATTTTAGATTCTTCTTCTTTCTGGCTACCAATCAAGGCTAGTGAGCCCAGTCCACTCTGCTATTTAATCCATAATCTTCTTCTTCTTCTTCTTCTTCTTCTTCTTCTTCTTCTTCAAATGATGTGAACTGAACTTAGTAATTAGCTGTGATGACCGCGTCGTGGTTGAAGTATTTGTGAATTTCTCAGCTGCGCCATTGGACGGAGTTCGAGGTCAGGTATGAAGTCAGGATTACGATAATGCAGACAAAGATCGATAAAATGTGACGATAGTTCAGACATCAGAGATCGATAATATGTTAATCAACTTGATCAACAGCTGACTAATGCTCAAGAAATTAAGGACTGGATTCAGGTTTTTTTTGGCTCAGGCACAGGATAAATGAAGACTGATAGTTGATATTGCGACTGAGAGCGAAATGTGCTTCTGACAACACCTGACCATTTGGTAAGGCCTTCTTACGCCGGCACTTGCCCTGAACCATCCAACAAAATAAGCAGAGGTTTATTTTTCCTGGCAATATTTTGTAAAGATTTGTGAATTCTGGCAGCTAAACCGTTTCTTTATATATTTTATATATATATATATATATATATATATATATATATATATATATATATATATATATATATATATATATATATATATATATATATATATATATATATATATATATATATATATATATATATATATATATATATATATATATATATATATATATATATATATATATATATATATATATATATATATATATATATATATATATATATATGTATGTATATTCTTCAGGAGGTCGGCATTAGACGTTCAGTGAGCTGGACAATTTTATTTCCGACACGACCTCCTCAAAGTGTTGTAATAACGGTAGTTTGTGAATACATATAATATTTAATAATAGATATTTAATGCATATAGTATTTAATAAAATTTAATGATAAATGTTATAACACTTATAACACTTATAATGTTATAACACGAGAATGTAATAAAATGCCAAGATCACTTAATACATAATGACGAGGGCTTGAAGAATGGGATATAACACGCAAGAAACTAAAAATCGTAGCCGGTCAGAACTGAAAATAATGTTTTATATATATATATATATATATATATATATATATATATATATATATATATATATATATATAAAGAAGAGAGGTACCGCAAACGTTTTTGGTTGTAATGTGAATAATTTTTTAAAAAAATATTATGCTTTATTTTCCATATGGAGAATAAAAGCATAATATTTTTTTTTATATTTAAAAATATATGAATATATATATAAATTATATATATATATATATTAAAACTGAAAACGACTGCAGAAGAAAAATGAGAAGCCAGAAAACTAAAAAGAACTGAAAGAGAAAAAGAAGCTAGAAAACAGAAAATAACCGCAAAAGAACATGCGGAGCCAGAAAACTGAAAAAAAAAGAAAAAAAAGATGCCTGAATACTGAAAACAACTTCAAAAGAAAAATAATAATAAGAAAACTGAAAACAGCTGCAAATAAAAAATGTGAAGCCAGAAAACTGGAAACAACTGGAAAAGAAAATTGTGAAGCCAGAAAATCGAAAACAACTTGACAAAAATAATGAGAAAGCAGAAAACTGTAAACAACTGCAAAAGAATAATAAGTAGTCGCAAGGCTGAAAATAACAGTAAATACAAAATGCGAATCCGGAAAACTGAAAACAACTGCAAAAGAAAAATAAGCCATAAAGGTAAAAACAACTGTAAAAGAACAAACTACAAAAGAAAAATGAGATGCTAAAAAACTGAAAATAATCATTAAAGCTAAATGAGAAGCCGCAAAACTGTAAACTGCAAAAGAAAAATGAGAAACCAGAAAACTAAAAACAGCTACAGAATAAAAAAAAAAAACAGGTGGAGAATTGTGAAAATAATACCATAATCAAAACGGAGAACAAAAATGAGAAAACGAGACGACTAGAGAAAAACAAATCAAAACCAGAAGTCAGAAAACCGAAAAGAACTACAGAAATGAAACGAGAAGACAAAAAAAAAAAAAAAACAGAAAACAACTTGAGAAAACAACAAAACAAAAAAGAATCATAAAGAAAACAAGGTAGAACCGAAATCGAGAACCCAACAACAACAACAACGGAAATAAAGAAAACATGGAAAAAAACGAGGTGACAGAAAACCGATAACAAATTCTGAGTAAACACCTCGTCTTTTCCAACGTTTAAAAAGATTTTTATCCGATATAAATGAAGATGGCGTTATCCTGCGGTAAATATTCGTTCAAATATTACTGCAAAATATGCATCGGACTTTAGCAACATTTCTCGTGATCAACCTGAAGACATGGCTCACAATATTATGGATATTTCGATACCAAATCAGGCTTTATCCACTGCCACATTTCACGATGACAATACTCTAATGAACCTGATCGAAGTTTATAAAAAAAATGACTAAACAAATTGATGTTTTCAACCTAGAAAATCAAAGGATTTGCTGTGTGAAACAGCATATATGGTAGCAGACGAAGTTTTCAAAGCCGATCTAAGCCGACCCCTAAGTATTTCTGGTTTTACAAGACTTACATCTTCAAAGATGATGCGTATAGATCTCTATTCCATTTTTTAAACATTTCATTGAAACTATTAAGCCGGTACTTTTTTGATAACTAGGACTACCAATCCAAGTTATTTCTCATACAATTTCAATTCAAGTTATTTGTCATCTTTGATCGAAAAATAGTGTCGATAGTGTTGACCAAATATTGGTAATTCCTGCAATTACTAGGTCTTGCTCAGTTATTTCTCACCCTGTTTTCAATGAACCCAAGTACACACTTCCCGGACCCGGTATTGAACTCACAATTACTATGCCACCAAATATAGCATCAATAAGACTCCAGGATTAAAATAATTTCTTTTAAATAACAAATTCTTATCAATGAATTCGAATCAAAAAAGTTCTGTCAGTTATGTGCCATGAGTGATAAACGCTTAGACGATCATTTATCTTTCGTACATGACTCACGAGGCAGATTTTTTCCAGCAGTAGGTTGCCATTTCTTTCTGCGGTAGACCAGTTACCATCCAAGAACCTGGTCTGTCCTGCTACTTACACACAGCTGGGGGAGGGGAGAAGAAGCGGATACATATCTTTCCAAAGGGTATAAGCACGTAAGTGAATGTAATGGATTCGACTGGAATTCGAACCCAGATCTACTGATCGGAAATGTAATCATTCTTTCACTGAAAGCAAGAGGGTCAGAGGGGAAAACGAGTAACTGACCAAAAGAGTTAGCATAGATGAATGATAAAACAAATGGAAGGGTTAGTAAAAAGATAAACAATGTTAAGAGCTACAAATACGATAGGCGGAACAAGGGAGTAACGAGGAAGTTTTAAGGACAATGCGAACAAAAGGTACGCTTGTGCTTAGAATTATAAAGAAACGGGTAACAGAGATGTGGTTCTACAGAAGGATGCTGAGAATATCATGGGCGGAACGTGTGAGCCAGAAGGAAGTTTTGTAGAAAATGGCAAATGGCACTTGTACTTAAAATAAGAAAGAGAATTGAAATTTATGTGACATAAATTGTCGACAAGCATATGCAAAAATGAAAATAACTAAATAACAGATATATATACCAAAATTACACTAAAATATATTGAAAAACTAAAGAGTAAATTTGTTCCATAAATTGCCATTGGCTTCAACCACGGCAACTTTTTTTTGTTTTGGTAATTTTTTTTTTATTTTGCCAAAAATATATTTCTATTAATATTTTTTCCTCAAAAATATATACCTGGTAATATTATTTTTCCAAAACGTATAGCTGGTAATATTATTTTTTCAAAACGAATAGCTGATAATAATATTTCTTCAAAAACGTATAGCTTGTAATATTATTTTTCCAAAGCTTATAGCTGGTAATATTATTTATTTAAAAAAATTATAGCTGGTTATATTGTTTTACAAAAACGTATAACCGGCAACACTATTTTTTCAACAAAAAAAAAGATGTATAGCTGGTAATATTTTTTTCAAAAACGTACAGATGGCAACATTATTTTTTCAAAAACGTATTATCAGAGAACTTGCCGTTGGACATAGTTTATCGTCATACCCAGGACGCGGATGTAGTCTGGGTGTTAACTATTTACCCATAGCTGGGACCCTAACAGGTGCTACCACCCAGGGTCAGGGTGGACCTGAGAACACCAGCAGTTAAGAGATGGTTCCATGCTCCACAAAACCTCCTGATCAGAGGCCTTGCTGCTGGACGTAGTTTATCTTCTTACCCAGGATGCGGATGCAGTTTATCGTCTTACCCAGGACGGAATAATCAAGAGGGTTGCAATTTGGAGAGTTAGGTAGCTAGATGTAAGGGCTGATGTGGTCGCAGAAATTGTCTGACAGCCATGACTGTGCTCTCCTACCTGTGTGGCATGATGCAAAGTCCTATTGCCAGACACAGAGTCTTCCAGCAGCCACCCTCTTGACCCAGGGCAGCACTACCTCCTTAAGGCAATTGATGAAGGCCTCCGTGTTGAGTCTGAGTCCCTTACTCACAAATTTCACAGTTGAAAGTCATGCGACAGAGTAAAGAAAAGAGTACTCGGAGAATTTAACACTTGCAGGACACATTGAAAGCAACCGGAGCAAAGGGAACATTTTGAAAAATTAAAAAGACGAACATTATTCAGAGCTACAAAAAATAAGTTGTGGAGAGCCATGATCCCCCACGTCCTGAAGTGATACAACGCATAACAGAAGAAGAATACTTACTTACTCTAGTGCAATGCCACAAGATACTAATATTCTTTAGTCACAAGACACTAATATTCAAGGCCACGAGATACTAATATTTTTAAGTTACCCGCTTCAGTATAGTTCATTTTCGACTCTGTTTAACATCACCGATCGGAGGAGGAGGAACGCCACCTTCAGCGTGACTTAACCGCAAGCCAAAAATGGTTAATGTTCCTTTCAGCCGTTAAAGACGCTGCTTCTCTTACCAGAAGAGTTAGGTCAGCCGTTCTTCGATTAAAAGACAGGCTCGCTCAATTAATTTCATCTGAACAATGCCGGCGATTCTTTTTATAATTGGGACGTTCGACAACTAATTAGGCTGCCACCTTTCTATGATTTGATCGATCGATCAATCGAACTCGTTTTCGAAACTGTTTTATTGGATTGTGATCAATTCGTCCAGAACCGTGATTTCGGTAATTGATTCTCATCGTTACTGAGATAATTATTTTCAAATTCGTTTCGTTCTAAATACACGTGAGCCTTTTGTAGTGCCTATTAAGTTTGGCGCAACATAGTCTTTCTACACAACAGCCCTTGTACTTAGTTTGTGAATGAGTAATGTTCACCCAGAATTCGAATGCTGAATTTTAACGTAGATCCACCTGACTTTTTCGTGCAACACAATCTCTCTGATATTTCTCCCCAAATAGGCATAGAGCTTCCTTCTTGGATGAGAGCGCATATTTCCCAGATTATATATATATAATCTAGGAAATAAGGAGGGTGAATTTGGGCAAGGTTAAAGATAGATAGATAGATAGATAGATAGATAGATAAAAATAAATATATTATTCGATCGCGAATACTGTAGGGGTACCACATCTTGCTTCTTTCAAAGTTATCTTCTCGTAGACCGGTTGCCATCCAAGGCTACAGAACTCAGTCTCTCTTGCTGGGGGGGGGAGAAGAGGCGGATTCATACCTTTTCCCTGTATGAGCATTTAAGTGAATTTAATGGATCCGACTGGAATTCGAACTCGGCTCTCCAATTCTTCAGTCCGAGCCGCTATCTGCACCGTGCATGCATACGTGCGTGCTTGCTATCTATCTATCTATAACGGAAAGTATAGTTTTACGATATGCTATGGGTAAAAGTGACAAAGAGCAGAGTGATTTACTAAGCGTAGATTAGTTGTGGCACAAAGCCGAAAAATATAGGGCACCCAGTGAGGATCGAACTCAGTCTAAATTGATCTACCGAGACAAGATGGCTAACCATTACACCACGTAGAAATGCCTGCGCAATATCAAAATTAGATAATATGTAAATATAAATGTAGACATTAAGGTCAATACAAAGCGGTAACAATGAGGTTCATGCTTCAATACAATCTTTCAGCCATTTTCTTTATTTTATTTTATTTTTTGGGGGGTCATCTGTTTATATATGTTGCATGATAGTTCATTATGGGTGGTACGGTCTATTGAATTATTCTGACGGTTATTTGGTGGGTGGTAACGGTTAAATTTAAAATGATTCTAGAGGATATACGGATTACCAAGTTTTTTCATATATATATATATATATGATTTCTATGTAATTAATGGTTTTTATTTTTAATCTGACATTTATTTTTAGTGGAAACCAATGTTTGACTTGACGTCCATTTTTTTGTTTATTTTTATATTTTAACAGTGTGAATTAATGTCTACAGGCCGGCGCATCCAATAGACATAATAAAGAAATGTTCTCTCCAGTAGAATGCGCACTACATATGAGAAGGCAAGTTTGAATTCAGCCGGAAAACAAATTTTCTTTATTAAGTCTTTGAAATGTGCAGGCCAGTAGATGTAATTTACACTGTTTAAAAAACAAACATGGCGTCTACTCAAACATAGATGTGAACTACAAATAACTTTTAGAGTAATATATATATATATATATATATATATATTGTGTGTGTGTATTTAGGCAGCATCTTTTCATTCATGTACGTTTCATTTAAATTTTAAATTACATGATCCAGCAGCCCACAATACTATCAATACTTGGAATTACAAATTGTAGCCTTGTGAAAAGGCAAATTGAAATAGCAAAAGAAAAATTGAACAAACTTAACAGCAACAAACAGGACATTTATCGTTGCTTAGTGATCAACTATGTAAACAATGACAGACTATCATCACTGTCGTGTCCGTAAATTGTTTAATATGTTGTAATTGACATCTTTGATAATGGCTTAAGTAAGCGGAAAGCTTAGATTGTATTAAAAAAATATGGATCAATATTGTGAATTTCTTTCTTCGTTCAACGATAATGTTATTAAAGTTATCAGACGTTACGAAAAAATTTTACATAAAATAAATAGACAACACTTGTCTATATTATTTAATATAAATATATATATATATATATATATATATATATATATATATATATATATATTCAGGTAAAATGAGAACAAATGAAGTATAATTTCACTGTCCGTAACATTTAATTTAAAGAGGGCTCAATACAGAGTAGAGCTAATTATTATTCATTTTAGGATATTAAAACAAAAAACATGTTAAAAATCGCTACGCAATTGGATTTATGTTTCAACACCACAAATGTGTCTCCTCGGTCGATGGTAAACTACTGGTGAGTGAAAGATTATTTTAATTCCAAAAGCTGAATAATTCCTCTTTTTTTCGAGAAAAAAAAAACAGAATTAAAAATAGGTGTGTGGGCTTTACCAATCAAATATGACCTACGCTAAATTCAAACTCACCGAATTTTTTTTATTAAATAGCTTATGATATGAAGTTGTTTGCATATAAATCCTAGACAATTTCATTATTGACAGATACAAATGGTTACATTATTCCGTAAGATGAATAGAAGTCTGGCGTTTTCATGAGAAGCAGAAGCGAAAGTGGTAGGGAGGTAATTCACCATAATGCTAACTAGTTATATGCTCAGTCAGCTACTTACATAAAAAAAATTGTAGTTTAGGCCCCTTTACGAAACTGGTAAATAATTTAACCGTTTGAAAAAACAAACAGACTATAAATACATAACTACTTTGGCAAATTAATATGCAACAGTTAAGTAACAAACACCCATATAAGATGATAATAATAATAATTAATCAATGCAAGATGTACTTGTACAACCATATAATATGTTAATAATATTAACTAAAATCAATACAAAGCAGTATTAAATCAAAATGAATATTATAAATAGAATAGTAATCCATATAAGGTGCACAGCAGTTAATCTACTGATTATTATTATTAGAAAAGTATTATCAAATTTAAAGTTTAAACATATTATAAGGTAAAAGGTAGACTATGCCTACAATTTATAGTCAATTCACTTCTTTTAATAAAGATGTTCAAGTTGACATCCCTTTTTTTATAAACAGTGTAAATTTGTATCTAGCGGCCTGAATATTTTAGAGTCTTAATACAGTAAAAAATGAATTAATTCCATATGTATATATATATATATATATATATATATATATATATATATATATATATATTGGGAATTTTTTTTTAATCTGATACATTTTTAGCACTCCACGGCAAGGCTTGTTACAGCAAGAATAACAAAGTTCATTCTGGAACTCTGTTAGTCTCTTCTTCTCCAACCGCCATATACACGTGACCTCGCACCGACCGATTATTACCTTTTTCGATCGCTGAAAAACGCTTTGATGTGGAAAAAAGTTTTCCCTAATGAAATCCAGATTCAAGAGTTAGTCGAAAACTTTTTCACGTCAAAACCTGCGAAATGTTAATTAAAATTTATCCAAGCGTTGTTTTTTTTTTCATTCGTTTTCTATGGCTTATGAACTCTTTGAAGGTTATTTAAAGCCAGAAAATATTTTTAGACTGTAATCATTTTTTTCTGGAGATAACAATGGTTTAGTGATACAAGTCTTACTATTTAACCTATACTTTGGGGTAGAAGAAGAATATTTGCCTGTAAGTGAATATAACGAACCCAGTGGGAATTAAAACTAAGAACTCTGATTAACAAGTCTGCGCCGTTATCTATTACACATCACCCGCACATCCAAGCTTACGGCACCTGGTATTTATCCATCTAGGTAAAGACCAGGCTAGACGTTGCTTAACTTCAGTGATCGTGCGGGAATCGGTATTTCAATGTGATATGGCCGTAAGCCTCGAAGTGTTGTTTGATAAATAGTAAGAAACCATTGCGAAAAACGATGAATATATTATTGAATAAAATGTAATTTCATTTTATCTATTGAAGAAAAAATTGGTAAAAAAATACATAAAAAACAGGAATTGTTTACGGCTCAGCCTAATAGTTACTCAGCTCCAGTGCATTCGGCAGTCGTTTCGTTTTAAGAGAGAATTGTAGATGTCGTAAAACGGTATTTTCCACATTGTCGTAATTTAATAGATTTTGACTCTTTTATTTCAGATACGGTAAGCAAGTGTCATCATTCAATGGTAAGCGCCATAATGTAGTCATAGAATGGCGGTGGTTTCTCTTTTGAAGATAAAATGTTTAATAATAATCTTCCTTTCTCATTATTGAGCTTATTTAAAGAAAAACAAACATCTTATTTTTAAAATACGAATCTACGGTTACAACGATTTGCTAAGACGTAACCCAGATGCGGCACAAGTGTGGAGCATTTAGAGAAAATCGAACTCACTCGTAATTAACCGAATAAGGAAAGCTTGCTAACCATTACACCACGTCAAAGTGCCTGAACCAACGGCTATATCCTGTCCAATACAGCCTTTTGCTATGCTTGTAAATGAATGATTATTTTTAATATGTTTTATTAGATTAAGTTACTAAGTTGCTTAATTATTCAAACAACGACATTTTCTAAACTGAAATTGACAATGACCTTGGCATTTTGATCACAACTTCTTAGTAAAGGACAGCAAGCAATAAAGGGAAGTAAGCAATGTCGATTTTTTTAATAGTATATTTTAAGACGCTATCAAATAGGCACAAAACCACTCACTAGAATTCAGATACGTGTGCGTGTACGCACACAAGCTCAAACACAGTCACACGCACTAACGACACAAGATATAAACACGTGAGATCTAACTGACCAATGAAAACTAGGGTAAAGAATTCGAAATACCGAAACCTTCTCTGTCATAATTCATTTCCAAAAGATTTCTGAGGAAACTAAAATAAAAATGAAGCATGTTAAATTT